AGTCTCGTCAAGAAAGGTGTACATCGTTGTCTTTTCTTGCACGGTGACCAGTGTAGTACACCTAGAAATGACAACCGATTTGACCGCGCGAACATTTGTACTCATATTGAAGCGCCTCGCAGCATGACGGAGAATACCTGCAATCGTATACTCGGACAATGCGAAAGCCTGTCATTGCACTGCCAAGCATCTGTGCTCACTCATCGAAAACGACGTTCAAGACTATGGCAGTGCTCACAGAATCCAGTGGCGCTTCATAGTTGAATGTGCACTGTGGTGGGGTGGCTTTTAGGAACACGTCATTCACACTATTAAAGAAGCACTCAAGCGTTTCCTCGGACGCAGCAGCTTGCGTTACAACGAGCTGCTCACCGTGCTAGAGTAAATCGAACCGGCAGTTAACTGCCGTCTGCTCACGTACTTAGAGGATAACGTCACATCAACAGAAGCTCTGAAAGCATATCACTTCTTAGTCGGCAAGGGTCTCGTCACCCAGCCTACGGAAGATTCTTGCCCTCAATGCAACCCCGTCTGATCTGCGACGAAGAGTGTGGTACTAAGAATAGCTACTTTTCAACCTGTGGAAGTGGTGGAAAAATGAATATATTTTGTTCCTACGCACTGCTCACCACAGGAAGCCGACGTCGTTATCCAAAGTAAAGCCCGATGGTCTCGTGTTGATAGAAAATTTTAATATTCCGCTTATAACATGGAAGATGGGTCATGTCGTTAGGGCATTCCCAGCTAAAGACGGTACTGCGCATTTCTTTCTGCTACGAATGTCAGACGGTCAGCAAATCCGGCGGCTTGTGCAGCGACTTTACCTTCTGGAGGCGCACTTAAGTTACGTGGCTGCGAGAATTTGATAAAAACTAAATAGGACGATGTGGCGCAGTGCGCAGGCGACGCGTTTTTATGGGAGGGCCGCCAGAAGAGAAGTTGCATTTGAGCAAGAAACCATTACCGAGCGCACGTCAGTCACTCTGTCCTCTACACCCATTGTGGGCTAGGGGACCGGCCATTAGTGACGTTGGCAAAACTGCGATGATTTGGTACACTGTACCGTACCAAAGATGGAGACAGTGAACGAGGCGTGGTTGGATCTTGTGGTGAACTATTCGGGGGAGCGTCATTGTATGCATGCCGAGCGTCATATGTAGCATCGCCGTTGTATGTACGTCGACTGTTGTCAATAGTGTAATCTGGCTGAGGAGGAAATTTTCAATGTTGGGCGTCGCGATAGCAGCAAACTCGGTAGACATGCTCTGCTTCGCCACAGTGAATGCACTCCGGCCAACAATCAGCGGTGCGCCACAAATTGGTTTCCCCGTGCTGGTAGTTCAGCGGGGGTTTTCCGTTGAACCACGGTGCCCTGTTCGGCAATCGACCGTAAGGCATTCTTCGGGTCAGCGAGACTGGTGCAGGTAGCGGCGATAGAATCGGCTGCATATGAAGAGTAGGTGGTAGAAGAGTCACTGGAGACGTCGTCGTCAGAGGAGAGACAACAGAACATCAGACATCATCAGCATAAGTAAGGTACCATTGCACGTCGCCATAGCCCGGTGAACAAATAGCTTGACGCACCTCTTCTCAGACAACATCAGCAACAAACGACAACGCCGGCTTCGGTTCTAGTGATGGAATTAAACCCAGCTGACGAAGCTCCTCTCGCAGAATCTTTCGGATCACTTCACTTAGAGGCTTGTCGTTTCCGCAGAGGCTTGTCGCAGCCATAACGGAGGTATTCGCGATGGATTTAACCATGTTGTCATGCTAACGGTATCATTGCTGTAGGGCCTGTTTAATTGCAGTGGTCTCTTCGGTAAAGTCAGCCACTGTTGTTAGTGAATTTTTCACCAGCCCAGCTAACAGTTGCTCCTTCACTTCTCAGGGCATGAGATACCGCAGCTTTCTGTCTTCTGGCATCTCGGTTTCTGCCCGGTGGAAAAGGCGAGCCATATGCTCAGCAAACATAGCAATGCTCTCGTTTGGTTTCTGGATGCGAGCTTCTAAGAGACGTTCCATATTCTTCTTTCTGTCAACATGTGTTGAGCAGATGGGTGCGGAAATTGTCCCATGCAGCCAAGCTTCATTCCCGTTTTACGTACCACATCTGGGCGTTGTCCTTTAGATAGAAGTAGACGCTTGAAAGGTTGTCTTCTGGGGTGGCCCACTGTTTGTACTTGACACACCGTTCGAACTGGTCCAGCCAGTCTTGGGCATCTTTATAGGCTTCAGCATGGAAGCAGCCGAGAATACTATGATTCTGCAGTGTCAAGCGGTGCGATGGAGCTGCAGTGGCTATGGTCGTTTGAAGACAATTGGGGGAACCTTCTGGCAGGGAATTAAGCTCGGGCACTAGGCCAAGTAGACGTCGACTGATATGGTGCACCAACGTTCGATGATTAAGCGGAGGACGACCAATAAAGAAACTTTGTCAAACTCTGCAAAAAGGCAGCCACGTCTTCTTCGTCTTTGGCCAAGTGTGTTCGTGTTGCTTCTTTGTCCTCGCCACTGGCACATACACGAAGCAATATTGTCATAAACAGCACATTGGCAAAGCAGGAAAGCCTGTCAATGTTAGATTAAACGGTCATCATGCAGACATAACAAAGAAATAAGCGAAAGCACAGCATTTAAATGTAACAGGAAACAACTTCGACGATCTCAAGCTCTACATACTTCTGTCAGAGTTGTGGTCCACAAGAGCCAGACAATATAAAGAGTTGTACTTTATTTACAAGTTCAACACACTCCAGCCAGTAGGTATAAACGTTTCTAAAGGGGCTCTTGAATTTATTTGGCATGGACAAAGAAAACCACTGTGAGTTGAGCCCTCCCTCTAGAATTTCAAACCTGCCATTGTTAACTTCTGACAATTGGGACTCATGTGCACCCCCCCCGCGTCCCCATCTTTTTCTTTTTCACTCATACAATTTCTCACAGCAGCCCCCTCCTTTGTTAGGATGCAGAAGAGGGAATAAATGGCAATTTCCGCGATAGTTGTGGACTAGAAGTTTAAACTGTCAAATTTAGCGAAATATTATCGTCAACCGAGCAACAGTGAGCGTTGGCTACAAAAAGGACGCGGACGCATCCGTATCCAACGTAGTTCGATCATGATCATGTAATTCACTTCATTCATGGGGCTTGCTAGTGCTTGTCTCATGGCTGTTGTTGTCATGATTTCCATGCAGAAGTGGTGGCACCAACATGTGTAACTGTGAATTATCTAGCAATGTAGTGAAACCTCGGTAATTTGTACCCGTTGAGAGCGTGGCATGATCATGAACAGAAGTGCACAGAAACGCCATCGTCACCAATAGGCAAATACAGTAACAGCAGTTATTGCCCAAAATACCATGAAAAAGTCTTTTCCTTTTTTTCACCTAAGTGCAGAAAAGATACTGAGCTGGCACTCACGCACAAACATTTGATAGCACACACTGGTGAACCAGCATAGAGATAGCGATTGAGATAGCAATTGGGATAGTGACAGAATGGATTCGCTTTCCACGATACATATGTGCACTTCTTTACCGCAATCTGATACCAAGTGACCACTGACAGTTTCATAGAAACACGGAGTAGTTGCGTGGACTCAATCATCTCCTGGTTAGTTGCGTGCAGCGCGGCGCCCAAGCTGTTGCTGCCGGGCGGCTCGCTGTAGCGTGCGAGCGGATTGGCCCAGTGGGGATGAGGTCATTGCTCGCTCCAGATCGAGCACACATGAGCAGAGTTTAATTAGCGGCGGCATAACAAACTTCCCCCAAAGAAAGTGCGCCGTAAATATCTAGTCTTCAGAGATCAGCATCGCTTATTCCTTGTTTTCTCAGAGTTATTTCTATGTCAGCTATGATGTTTAATTATGAGAGCACAGACGTGTGCACACACACACACACATTTGTGGGTAGTAAGTCTGATCAGCTGCCCCGCCGCGGTGGTCTAGTGACTATGGTACTCCGCTGCTGACCCACAGGTCACGGGATCCCGGCTGCGGCGGCTGCATTTCTGATGGAGGCGGAAATGCTGTAGGCCCGTGTGCTCAGATTTGGGTGCAAGTTTAAGAACCCCAGGTGGTCATAATTTCCGGAGCCCTCCACTACAGCGTCTCTCATAATCATATGGTGGTTTGGGGACATTAAGCCCCACATATCAATCAAGTCTGATCAGCTCAAAAATCATTGAAATTTTTTACCAGAAATGATTTCGATAGGCAATGTGTTTAACTGAAAAACTAACTTGCATTACTCGGAAACACTTTTCTTGGTGCTCCAAGCCTGCTCCAAAACAGCATTATTCCTGCTCCAAAACACTGAAGTCCACTTCCGCCCCTGGAAAGACAAGTACGCTTGTCGAAACATCAGCTCGAGCATACAGCTCCTGTTTATAGATTTTTTCATCGCAAGCTTCCCCTTCCTGCCGATGCATCATAAAGAAGTTCATTATTAGGCTGATGAGCCAATTTTATTGTGTGTTTTATTAAAAATACAAACCACCAAAAGTTTGTTTCATATGGGCATTGCAATATTTTTCGAAAAATAGGTCATTGAAACAAGGTGTACAATTGCACACAACATGAATCGCAGCATGTTATTCATGCTTAGAATAGTGTACACACTGTTTCACTCACTCTATTTTATCATTTTCACCGCTTAACCCTGCTCAGCAACAGTGCCTGCCAGGTCCTACAGTGTCCAACCAAGTCTTGGCCATGACTTGCTTGGTTTGCATAGCATCCCTTTTGCAGCCATCCCCACACTGCTTGTAATTATGGCAGAGTCGTGCCACCAGATTGATTACTTTTAAGGTAGTTGTCAACAAAGTGTGAACATGACAGATGATTGACTATTGGTAACCATCAGTAAGCCATAAGCTCTGTCATTTCTCACAGCAACTTGTAATACTTTAAATTGCAATGTTCAGAAAACTGAACTGAACTGAATAACATGTGAATAGTTGAGATGTTGTACATATCAAACTTTCTTTGTGTCTTGCAGGTGCAACAAGCTAGTGAAGGAAAGCCCCGGCCTGACTCATCATGATGTACCTCTACTCTTTTATGTTGTGGTTATTGCCTGTGGTCTGCTCAGATTGGTTCAACAAGTTGGCTTAAGCCACACAGGAGTGCAACAGCTGATTCAATTTCTCCATTGTGCACCAAACTAGTTTGCCTGTGCCATCAGGCGCCGAACCGCCCTTGTTGTGGCAAACTCGTTTATAAGCGCTGTACTGCACCGAAGCACCCAAAGTTAGCTGCAAAGTGCTACAACCATGAAGCCCTGTGCCCGAAAATGTGGCTGAAACATTGTGTTTCTTTGAAACAGTTTCCTTGGGCAGTGAAGTTTGTTTCTAAAAGCGCAGTCGCTAGTGCTGGCGTGCGTGCTGTCTTGACAATCATCAGCACAAATGCCTCCTGAATTATTCTACGTGCTGTGCTCGCAATACGAAACGACTGTGTGAAAAGAGCATGTCTCCCTGGCGCGACTGTATTCTCAAAAACCGGCATTCTATTAGAGTTGCATGATATTAGATGCAAAGAAGCTAGCTGCCAGCCTGACCTTGTATAACCGTAGAATTTGTTGCTATAACATTCATTGCTTCATCCTTACGGTGAAACTGGTTTTTTATAACTTGATGGCAGCGTTCAGAAAACGAAAAAAAAAGATGATGGTTACAGTGCTGAGAATAAGGGGGGGGGGGGGTAGTTTCTGAAACAGCCTAGCAAGGACAGGTTCATAGGGCTGCTTATGAGCGCATGTGCATATATTCTCATTTATGTCACCGCTTTGCTCAGTTATGCAGCGCTTATCAAGTTGATGCTCGCACGTTCAGGTTTTAAACAATGCGCGGTTGTAGTAGCTTAAAAAGTGACATTTTCACTGCAAGGGCGAAGCAATGAATGCAAATGAAATAAATTGAAATATACTAAGTGGTGCTGGCAGCTTAGATCTACAAAATGCTGCTATAAGAGAATATGGCCACTTCATGGAGAGCAACACTTTTCGCACTATCTCTTTGCAAAGTGTATGAAGCGTGTATGGAAGCTGCCCGCTGATGGCTGCTGAGCAAGTGCGCATGCCAGGGATCGCGATCGCGCCCTCAGATGCAAAGTTAACAGTTTCTGCTTGTTCAACCTAATTCAAGACCTCCAGGGTGTTCCCTCTGTACTTCGATGACAGGCCTCCCAAGCGGAGTGATCTTATCTTATGAGTCAGGCTTCGGGCCTAGCGTGAGCCCTTGGAGCAACAGAGATAGGCCGGGTCTACTGATATCTGCTTCAGTTGCGTTCATCGTCCCCATTTGCACACTTTTACCCACGGGTAGAACATGCGGTATGCGGGAGGGGTAGGTTATCAATTTGAACTTTATGCGGTACATGACGGTGACAACACAAAACCCGTCAAGAGACGTATAGTTGTCTTTCATTTATAATATCGTAACTAATTTCTATTGCAATAATAATGCCATTGCACGATTAAGCTTGGTGGGAAAAATGCAGCATTAGGCAAATGTTGCTTCACAAGTGCTGTGTAACAGGGCTACATCTCAGAGTGTTCTCTCAGTTACGCGTGTGCTCGGAAAGGCCATTCTGGCTTCTACAAGCCTGCTCCAAAACATATTTCTGGATGCTCCAAGCCTGCTACAAAACGCACTCTTGCTCAGGACTGCTCTAAGACTCATGTACTCTGTTCCACCCCTGTGGTCACATTGCAACATTGGTTTTTTACAGTAAAGCTCTTCTTCATCAATACTTTTCTCATGCCGGAAATGCGGTATGGTGAAAGTTAGGCCTGGCAGAAATGGCATTGCCTGGCCGGAGAGGGGTAGAGCTCGGCAGAAAGCTTGTCAGATCCTGGCTGTTTGCAAGAAGTAGGTCAACGAGGGGCTCAATGAACTAGTACTGAAGGTGGGGTCTACCCTTCCAGAATGGCCAAGACTGCTTGTACTCCCGGCAAAGAAGTCGCCCAACATGAGCTGATGCGGGAACAGGCATGTCATTACTGAGCCGACTCCAGCCGTAAAAGCACGAACTAAGCCGTATAGTCATCACACGACAGCTTTCATGAAGTGGAGATGGCTGGATTTTTTTTTATTGGTTTCAAAAGTTGTTGCAGAGAACCACAATGGTATAAAACATTACGTTGGGCCTAGTTGGTACACAACCTTTAAATCGAAAGCTGTTGTTAGCCAGCACCAGTGCTGGCAGGTACAGAAGTGCACTTATTCTGAGTATTCAACGCATTCGTGCTGTGCTAGAAGCAGGTGTGTTGCATGCCTGCTGCATCTTGTGGCTTTCTGTGGGTGAGAGCATAATTAAAATGCTTAAGATGTGGAAATGCTGGTTTCACAGCAAATCAGTCACAGGACCATCACTACGATTCCAGCTGCTTTTTTTGTGACTAAAAGAATAAATCACGAATGGCACATGAACATTATATAGCTGTGGACGTGAGCAAGATTAGCTCCAATATATGCAATGCATCTCTTGTACTTTGAGCAGTGCAATTTCGATTCATGTGGCATTCCCTCTGGATACTGCTCACATTCTTGCCTAGATGGAACACCAGGTGATGAAGTCGGAGAGCTGATTATTGTGACAGCCGTGCAATAGGCAGCAGCCAGAACGGCTGTGGCATTCAATGTCTCCACTACAAGCAGGGGGTCACTACAACATCACCCTGGTGGTACACAGCAGTCCCTTCCCCACTTCAGAGGAAGTCGTTTAGGTAATCTGGTAGCCTGACATGGTGAAAAGAACAGCGGGAGCCTGTTCGATCTGTGTCAGTGCGAGAGTCTTGTACTTGGTAAAGTTGCTGGCCTGTGGTTACTCAGGAAGCACAGAGTGCACGTTGCTACAGTTCCCAGAAGTAAGGTGTGCTAACCCAGGTGAAAATGATTCCCATTCCCAGCTGGGTTATGGAACCTCGAAATTTTTTCAGGCTGGAAATTCTGGCTGGGAATCGAAAATGTTTCCGACCTGGAAAAATTTCTAGGTTCCATAATCCAGCAGGGAATGGAAATATTCCCAGCTGGAAATGAAAAAATTTTTCAGGTTCCATATTCCAGCGGGGAATAGAAATATTCCCAGCTGGGAAAGGAAAATTTTGCAGCGTCGGAAAATTTCCAGGTTCCATAATGCAGCTGGGAATCGAAATATTCCCATCTGAGAATGGAAGCATTTTAAGCAGAAAATGGCTTGTTGTAAGCCTTGAAAGAATGTCCAGATTTTCATCTCACTGCGATTGCATACGCATTAGCATCTAGTTCCTCAGGACGTGTTCATTCATATCACCGAACACAGACAAATAAATTGGTTTTGAAACTTGAAAACATTTATTTCAACGCTTGTAGCAAGTGCTGGAACATATCTCAAGATGTGGAATGAGTTGGTCACATTCTTGTACACCACCTGAAAAATATATTGATGCATAGTGAGCGCACTTTAAAACCACGTTTACATATAAAACACTATTCTAGCGACAGTATAACTTCACCAACCCACATGCACATCATCAATACAGCTTTGCAAAGAAGTACAACACACCTTTATCATACACCCGAAACATCAGCAGTTTGTAAAGCAAAATGTCATTTTTAGAAAAAATTTGATGGGCATTACGGTTTAAACTGCAAGAATTATTAAGCAACAATTAAGCACGAATTATTTTTATTGATCTTAAACTACTTCAAATGAACATCAAGTTAATTCACATGCACTTATGTAATTACTGGCGTTAGTTGCCAAGACGCATGCACGCTATTGGCACAAGCATTGAACGGCGCATGAGTGTGGTGGCTAGAAGGAGAGGTGTCAGCATCGGCGCGCCGGAGCACGAGCGAAAATTTATCCGGATGCGGCGGTGCTGCGGTCGCTTTCGAGATGCCCCTCCTCGCGCCCGCGCATCAGACGTTTTTTGTTTCAAATATTTCACGCTACCCTGCGGATTATAACAAAGTCTACCTCTCAAAATTTTAGTGGCGCGCTGCCACGTGTATTTGCACTGAAAACTAGTGTTTTCAATTCACTTCGTAGTATATCAGTTGCGAAGCTTAGAAAATAGAGAATCAAGTGACTTGCCGTGAGCTTGACACCAAAACAAAGCCCGTGCATTTTTTACTTTGATGCCGCAGTGTTCTCCGTGAAGTCTCAATGCACGTAATGGTTATCGGCAACCATTATTTTTATGACTTGCGCAATCAAGGCCCAATTTCACAAGCAACACATTTTCACAAAAGCTAAAAACATGAAAAATAAACACATGTGCATTAAGGTTGAAAAAAACTGCAAGTTATATGAAACTCAGCTAAAGCAAGTGAATAGAGCAACTAGAGAGAACAGTAAATATACGATGATACAATGGGCCTATGTATACACACATGACATTGAGATTTCAACGATACAGTCACCAACATAGATACAGTCACAAACCAGTCCATGAAAAAATTGATTTCTGCATATGTGAAACACAGCCAGAGAGTGACATCACAGTTGTTAATCGGAGGTTTATAACAATGTGAACAAGACAATTGTAACATCACAAGAAACAACTGAGTATGATAAATGCGCAATAACACAAAATAAAACCTTGTTCGCTGAGTTAACACTGACAGTCAAGTCATACGTCTTAACTTCAACAACTTCATTTTCTCTCTCTCTCTATTTTCTTTTTTCAATGCACGCACTTTCTCCAGCAACGATAAAATGCATTTTGGTCAGTGTAAAGACTCTAATTATCTGATTTGTCACTTCCAGTTTGTGGTGTTCACAGCCGACCATATTTAACCTCTTCACAAACAGGCAAGAGATAAGGTCTGTTATGCTGTCACTTTTCAACTTGTTGAAACTGAAGCAATAGGTGAATGCATCTTCCGTGGTTTTGACCAGGAACAGAAGGCGCAATTCTGCGGGAAGCAAGCTGGAATTTTCAGAGTGAAGCAACAACCTGCTACATTCGTTGTACTTGATCGTTTTCACCATCTTCCGGGCCACATAGCCACTGACGCAATATGTGATCCGGGAGTTGCTTTTGCGTCCAGTGAGATCAGTGTGGTCAGGAAGGGCTTCAAAAGCAACAATCATTTCATGAACCTCATTAAGGTGCTCCCCATCTAGCAGCTCATTCAGCTTATTCTGCAGTTTTATTGAATTATTGTGGATGCCCGGACATTGAGGGCTGCTCAGAACTCCAGAAGGTATGTTTCCACTAGAGGGTGACTGCCAAACTGTAAAAACAGAGGCAATTCGCAGAGATCAAAAATTGTGTCGGCGAAGGGTGATCATTCGAGCCAGACATTTGCTTCAGAATTCCAATAAATATTTTAAGCGCATCTTGGCAGATAAATCAAGTATTTAAAGCCCAAGGTTTATCTTGACAGATAAATCAAGTATTTAAAGCCCAAGGTTTTCATGACAAAGTGCCGGATAGAAAGGATGCTGGATAGAATGACGCGGAGTCTTTTGGCAGTTGATAAACTCCGGAACCCACCCTCCTTAGGTACAGGTTTTTCCCAAGTTGCAAGAACCCGTTTATAACATGCTTGTAGCTACAGATGATGAATCTTCATTCGAAATGAGCTTCGCACACAACGCATTTCTTTTCCAGTGGTTTGTCAGCGCGAGGAATCGCACGCTTCCAGGCCTAGCGCCGTTCATCTTCGGCGGGAGCAGAGAAGAGAGATGCTTTCTTCTCTTGTTTGCGTGCCGAGACATATCCCGCATTGGATCCAGGTGCAAAGCAGTGTTTTTGCTATTTACCAATCACTGTGGCATGGTCACATTGGCACGTATTGATCCCGAACAAGTCCAAATAGGCAAAGCGCAGATGGTGCGAGCACACGAGCAAGCGACTAAAAGTGCCGTGCCAGGGGCTGGCGAGCGCTCTCCACCGATCACGGTGGCGACTTGCGCTTCTTTGCGGCGAGATGAAATACCAGCACACCTCCTTTCAGTGCGCGGCCGGTACGATGCTGACACCTCTCCTTCCACGGCCGCCTGGATCGGGGCGCGAGATTCGCTCGGAGGATTTCAAGCTGGACGGTTGTGCCCTCGCGATCTCCGACTTCAGCGTAGCTCCCGCCGACTGGTTCGCCCTCCGCGGTCTCCTGATGCCGTGCAGCTCTCGCATTGTGGCACCCCGCGCTTGGACTGCTTCGACCGGATCCCCACTTTCCTATCTCCTTCTTTTTTCCTCTCGTTGGCTGGCGGCTTCTTATCCGTCTATTTTCCTTCTATTCTTTTTATCCCTCCTTCCTTCTCCCTATATCTTTTATTCCCCATATCCCATTCCTCTGCTGACCTGTTGAGGTGTCCTCGTAAGGAGAGACAGTTACGGGTCGGCACCTTTCTTTTCTTTTCTTCTGATATAACCACAATCTCTCTCGGGGCGCGCGGCGGAACACGCCCTGATCCAGGCTGCCGTGCTACAGTGTACTAGAAGAGGGCAGTGGAGTCAACGAGGTGGCCGCGCCGTATCTCGGCTGATTCTCCGGTGGGTGACACTAGCGGCGGCGTTCGAGTCGCATGGTACTGAACATTTCAGAAGTACTTGCATTGGGAGCGCGCGCGAGTAGCCCGCAAAAGCATGTATTTGCTTGTTCTTAGCGCATTAATTGTGTTTAAAAGCCTTTATCAGAGTATGCACACCTGCTAAGCGCAATAGTGCACGAGTAAATATGCAGACACGCAGAAATTGCGTCGGGACATTCACTGTTTCAAGAGCCTGCCGACAAAAAAAAAACGTGGTACTATCAGAATTTGCACGGATCAGCCTAGCTTTTCACTCAAGCATTGCTTTGAGCGGTGCTACATCATAAGTGGCTACTGGCGAGCTATAATGAGGGAAGTATCAAAACCGCGAATAAATCATATGCTCATTTTGTCGTCAGCTTCTATATCCAGATCACTCTTCCTCACATAAGTCCACATGCCCTAGATTGTTTCATGAGAACCCCGATTATAAGTATTGTTGTCACCACAATCATATTGGTCATGACTTAGTTTTATCATCCCAATTTTACGGAAGATAATAATTAATGCTTTCTGAAAGGCTTTCTTGTTTTAACCGCGTGCATTCACGCTAACTTTGCTTCTTTTATGCAAGCTCCAAGAGGCCGAGCCAGGGAGCCGAGCTGAAAGAACGCCTGTACCTCCTAGTCAAGAACTTCACGCGAAAAGGGTTATATTGAACATATTAAAGAATGCCAGTTGTATAGTATACATAGCCCGTCTGTTACTCTGTGGAAATTCACTGTGACAAGTTCTCATTTTGTATCGACAGCTTAAATTGTACTGCTCTTGCTTCCTAATATAATATTGGCGTAACGCCGTTGCAAGCGAGAAAATTTATGACAACGTTTAGTATTATAGGTGTAGTTCTTTTATTAAGTGTCAAAAGTGTTGGCGGGCGTTGGTGCATTTTGTTTTGAGAAATATAAC